TGAAGTCCTGGGTTCAATCCCCAGCACCCATGTATAAAGCTGGGCATGGTGTCAAGGTATAGCACTTCATCTTTTCTGTATCTCTATGTCTAATGTCTAATGATGTCTAATGATGTATCTTGAATAATGTGGTTTCATAGTGATTTCATAGGAGACCCCAGGCAGTCCAAAGATTCTAATTTTTAATGTGCATGTATGTGTGTGTGTGTGTGTGTGTGTGTGTATGTGTGTGTGTGCATGTGTGCATGTGCAGAGGCCAGATGTTGGTTGGGTTGAGTGTCTTCTTTCATCACTTTCTATCCTGTTTTTTAAGACAGGGTCTCTCACTGAACCTGGAGCTTGCTGTTTCTACTAAACTGGTTGGGTAGTCACTTTGAATGAAAATGTGGAGCTTCCCAGTCACCCAGTCATCCCCCCAATCACAGGAAGTGATCAGGAGGGAATGAAGCAGAGAAGTAGAAATCTGGAATTTGAGAATAAAGACCCATCAAGACCTTGAATCAGGCCTGGGGTCCACAGAGTCACAGGAGGAGCGAGGCAAGACACGGTTCTCACAGGCTAGATCCCTAGGTGGATGGCTACATCCTCATTTATATTCCCAAGAAGACACTGCACAAACACATCTTCTAATTTCAGAGTTTCCAAGATGGTTTCCTGACAGCTGAGCAACTTGTACCAATCCCTGGGTGCTCAGCATATGAACACGGAAGAGGGGCAAGCAAGTGGGATTCCAGGGTTAAAGAAAAATTCCAGCTCCAAGTGCTCATTGCAGTAAAATCAGCAGGAGCTTGTCCACAGCTCAGAAGGAGCAACTCCAAGGCCAGTGAGCATCTTCTGTCCTTTTCCCTGCCCTCCTTTACCTGCTTGAGATAAACGTGGTGAATAGTGTCCCGGCAGCTGGTAGAGACAGTGGGAAGCTAACAGATGATCAGGAAGGAAAGAGGACATAGAGAAGGCCTCTGTACCTTTCTTGGGTTTCACCTGACAGAAAATGGAAGGTACCACTGCTTATGTTAGCTGAGATAGTGCACACTATCCCAAGGCAGAAGACTTGCTGGACTGGGTTGTAAGCAAATCCAAATGGAATCTAGATTGAAGTCTCCTGTATTCACCAATTAGACCTGGGTCTAGGCCTTTGATCTTGTTTAATGATCACTGAGAACAAGAGAGGATGGTGGCAAAAAGGCCTATATTAGGTGTGAGCAGTGACTTAAAGTCTATGGAGGAGGCACATAGCAAACAATATGCCACTTTATGTGAGGGATCGGGGCATCCCTGGATTTGGACATTGTAGCTGTCCTGGAACCAATTCCCTGAGGCTACAGTTTGCCAACTAGACTATGCAGGACTACCTAACAGCCAAGGGTCTCTCTCCCTCACACAGATGTGGACATGAGGTCAGACATTGACAGAACTGACTTCTCCAGTTGCAGTGGTCATGATGATGCTTAGCATTCTGTGCTTTGTATAAGATTCTAGCAATACTTGTCCGGGAGGGATGGGCTCACAGAATGATCAGCCAGTGGACAGGAGACAGACTCTTTAGGAAAATCTGAATAAGGGCCTGAGAAGAAAGGGGGAGAGGAAGAAACCAATAGTAGCCTTGGACCCTTGGCTGTCCCAGGCAGGGTAGGTGCCTCTGGGTGATACCCTCCTCTAAGTGAGGACAGTTAGCAGTAGGTGCAAATCTGCTCTGACACCAAAAGCCCTGTCCCATGGCTGTTCATTGGAAATGAGGCACATTCTATGAAATGAACAATGGGCAGGTTATATTTGGGGTACTCAAAACCAGGTTCAGGATCTCCTGAAACTTTGACTCATCACCACTAGGGAATAAAGAACAGAGGTCTGCTATGGGTTAGGAACAGATGTTGTGCCCTGGGACTTGTGCGTTGGTTTACATGAGTTCACCAGAGCATTTGACCCTTTCCCTTAACAGAAGCATATGTGAACACTTGTACTAAGGAAGGAAGATGGACCAGGATTGGGCAACATGGACTCACTTGGGAGACTCATGGTATTTACTGGAGCAAATGCTGCTCTGGTCCAGACACAGGAAGGAACTGGGCCACAAGAAGTACCACTCGCCAATCTCCTATGGTCTACACAATTGTACATGTCCTGTTCACACAATCAAACGAAACACCATTATCCTGCAGAGAGTGGAAAGCCACATGCCAGACACAGATGAAAGCTTCATTGGGTTCTGTAGGAAGCCATGAGAATGTCACCAAGTTGTAAGATCTTCCGGGACGCTGCCTCTTATTTCTTCTCTGTGAACACCACGAGATTCCCTGGTCAGGAAAACTTCCTGATGCCAATGATATAGAAATCACACTGAAGTCACAGAGAGGAAACTCAGACCCATGTTGACCACACACACTGGGCTGTGAGACTGATTCTTCATTTACTCCGCAAGAGGGGCTGTGGGTGTATCTCAGTGGATAGAGCACTTGTCTGGCATGCATGAAGCCCTGGGTTTGATTCCCCAGCACTGCAGAACTGTAGAAACTGGACCCAATGGTATAATTCTAGCACTAAGAAAGTGGAGCCAGGAGGAACTTATGGTCAGATCATCCTTGGCTACATAGTGCATTTGAGGCAAGCCTGGCTATGTGAAACCCTATAGAAAGAAAGGAGAGAGAGAGAGAGAGAGAGAGAGAGAGAGCCAGGCCAGCCTGAGCTATAGAGTAAAACTCCATCACAAAAGGAGAGAAAGGGAGGGAGGAGAGAAGGAGGAAAGGGGTGAGAGGGAAGGAGGGAGAGAGGACGAGGAAGAAGAAAAGAGAGAGAGAGAGAGAGAGAGAAGGAAGGAAGGGAGGGAGGAAAGAAGGAAGGAAGGAAGGTAGGTAAGGGGTTTGTCACTGACTCCAGACACAGAGAAGCTCAGTCTGGAGAAGGTGATTCCCTAAGGATTCAGGTTACCTATAACAGGCACCTGAACATGGGGTCTAAGCAAGGTCTCTGCATCTCCAATGCTTCTGCCTTTCACTACCACCCTGTTTGAGGTAAGGCGTTAGCTGAAGGGTACTGTCTATGTGTCCACCTACAGCAAGCCCTGCAGGTGGAGCTAGAGCATGGGCAGCATAGAAGACAAGCCAGTCCTTGAGATTAGTGCCTGCAGGGGGCAATTAGGTGATTGCAATCTAACAAAGAGGAAGAACCCAGCCCAAGAAGATTGTCTGAGAGCACTCTATGGAAACACAGACTCCCAGGTCCCTTGTCCATGAGGCCCCTGAGTCTTCTGAGCATTGCTACAGCTGGTGCGGATACACACTAGCTTTGAGAATTTCCAGCACAAGCTGTAAGTCCGTATGTTGGGGTGTGGTATGGCATGAGGGGACATGGGATGTTTGTCTCTGTAACTGACAGACAGGCTGCTTGAAGAGGCTCCTGCCTTCTGCATGGGATTATACATGTCTCTGGGAAAAAGATGGGGAGTGCAGAACATGGCGGGGCGGGGGGAATCTGCTTGTGACCACAGGTGTTCCTCAAAGGGCTTGAGAGCAGACTCCGGCCAGAGAGAAGGCAGCAGCAGCTTTCTCATAAGCAGCATGTCTCCTGGGTGCTCAACGTGTCATAATGCTGTCTGCTGCTCCAGGACATTTGTGTTGGATACTACTGTTCAAAGATGGAAGGCAGCCAGGTCTCAGAACAATGTTCTGCTCAGCACTCAGTGAGGGGACACTGTCCTCTACAGTCTCGCTGGGGCTAGACTGAGTCTTATGGACTAGTCAGTCACCACTGCCAACTTGTGCTATTCTTTTCTTTCTTTAAGATTGTGCTGAAGAAAAATTTTTAGGGGCTAGAAAGGTGACTCAAAGGTTAAGATCACTGGCTCCTTTTGCAGAGGACCTAGGTTCAGTTCCCAGCACCCATATGGTGGCTAACAGCCATCCATAACTCCAGCTCCAAGGGATCTCTCTGGGCATTGCATGCATATGATTCACTTGCATACATTCAGGCAAAACACTCATACACATAAAATAAAAACATGCAAGTTCATTTTTAAATATCAGAAGAGCAAAGTTCTTTAAACTGATACAAATGCAGAAAATCACTTCTGTCTCTAGGAAAAGTTGATATCCTGCTATTAATGAATGTGCCAGACTAAGAGATTGTGTCACAGATTCTGGTCACATTTCCATGGATGGAATGGGGTGGTGGTCCTTCAGACCCCCAGGAGGCATCTCTGTAGGGACACTGAGTGATGCTAAATGCAGGGGGTCCCACAGCACCACATCTGTGTCAGTACATCTTTGCAGAGGAGGCTTTTCCACATACATTTACATGTGAACAGGAATACACATACAAAACATTACCTAGAAGCTGGGCTGGTGAGATGACTCAGCGGTTAAGAGCACTGACTGCTCTTTCAGAGGATTCAGGTTTGATTCCTAGCACCCACGTGGCAGCTAACAATGGTCTGTAACTCCAGTTCCAGGGGATCTGATGCCCTCTTCTGACCTCTGAGGGCATTGCATGACACAGGTGCACTTACATACATGCAGGCAATAAACTCATATATCTATCTATCTATCTATCTATCTATCTATCTATCTATCTATATATATATATATAATAAAAATAAATAAAACACTAAAAAAGAAATTACCTAAAAGTTGTGTGCATAAGGTATGTATAAAATATTAAATTTCAAGTGCAGACTTGGGGATGCAATCTCACATCATCTCATTACATACATACCACTCTTCCCCAATCAGAAAACATCCAAAATCCAAAGTACTCCCAGTCCAACGCATTTTGGATAACAAATACACAACCCATGTTGACCAAATATCATTTCCTTTAAGCACAATGTCACACTTTGTGGTCAGACTATATAAGCTCATGCTGGATCACAAGTGATGCCAGCTCCTGTATGGGCAGATGGGAACCCATGTCCCCTTCTGGGGCCACCTGGGGTCCCCTTATGTAGAAACTGTTACTTCTAGCTGAATGTGCCTGGAGGTAGGAGGTAGGGTTGACATGACACTCACAGGAATTTCCCATTGATCTTTGACCCTATGAGGACGGTCTGCTCTGATTCATCCCTGGAGATGTTGCCATGGAACCAGGGCATCTTCTCATGGGCAGTGGTGGCGATCAGCTTCTCCAGCTGGGGCTTCTGGCTGATGATGGCTTGCTCCAGAGCCTGGCCCTGCAGTGAGTGAAGAGGAGAAAGAGTGAGCCCGGCAGATGGAGAAGTCAACCCCAATCTGTTCTGGGTCTTACTCAGCAAAGAAGAACCAAATTCTACTAGCCCGCTCTGCATACCTTTAAGTATATACATAAGGAAATGAGTTTTGAAATGAAGAGATGGGACCTTGTAAAGCCATACATAACTTTGAGCATGTAGGTATAATCCATGAGGTTCAAAGAATGGGTCTTCCAAAGACAGTTGTGCACTCAGCCGAGGTTCTGGGCAAAAACCTGGTCATTTCACAACCAGCAAGAGGCTTTAAGATGCATGTGAGGGCGGCTGGCAGGATGACTCAGAGGCTAAAGACATTTCCTGCCAAACCTGCAGACCTGAGTGGGGTTCCTGGGACTCACATGGTAGAAGGAGAGAATCAACTCCTGTGAGTGGTCTGACCTCTATATGTCCACTGTGACGTGTTCCCCCACCTACACACAAAATAAATAAATGAATAAATACATATAATTTTAAAAAATTTGAAAAAGATGTGTGTGAGGAAGGCACCCATGGCTTCCTGTCTACCAGATTTTAACTAAGTCCTCACGCCCACTTCCCCACACATCTGCAGGAAATGGCATAAGAAGAGGCACAGGTGAGCATCCCAAATCATGTGGGCACAACCAACAAGGTGGAAATAAAACCTGGGAAGTGGAGTAAGAGCTGAGGGGACAGAATTCCTCATCCTTCTCAATAAGGGAGAAGTAGGTCTTCTTGGTAATATATGAATAGCCAGAGTTTGATTAGTGCATGTTTAAAATGAACTCAAAAGAGTGAAAACCAAGCCATAACCTTCTCAGGCATGGAGACGGGAGGAGACAAAGAAGAGGGGAATGAGCACTTTGACAACATGTACCGATGGAGTGTGAACAAAGGCAGCGAGGGTCACAGTCACAGAAGCATCTGGAACATCGGAAAAGGCTGGCGATCCATCCAGACACCACGGAGAGCCAATCAGACACAGGCACCAACTCAGGCAGGCACCAGGTGTGTGGTGCCATGTGAGGTAAGTCGGTGAAAAGGCCTCATACTGTGAGAGTCCGTTCAAAGGGAAGACGTGCAGATGGACTAGACAGAGACCTGTGGTTGCCAGGGGCCAGGGTGGGGTATGGCTGAAGGAGTGAGGGGGCTCCTCTTTGTATTTTTTTGTTTTTGAGACAGGCTAGCCTTGAACTCATTGATGAGTTCCTTGATGTAGCTAATAATGATGCTGAACTCTTGATCTTCCTGCCTCCACCTCTCAAGTGCCAGGGTTACAAATGTGCACAACCATGTCCATTTTTTTTAATGTAGTGCTAGAGATTGAACCCAGGGCTTCATGAATGCTAGACAAGTACTCCGCCAAAGCAGCCATTTATCTTGATTACAGTGGAAGTTACATGACGCTTTGCAGTTATCAAAACCTGCAGAAGTGGACTCCTAAAAGGTTGAATCTACTGTGTGCAAATTATAGCCAATAAAGCTGATTTATAGGATTAGGGTAAATGGATGGCTTAGAACACAGTCAGGAGAGGCTAACTGAGACCCTAAGTACACAGTACTGCACTATCTATAAGACTTAATTTAACAAAGACCCTGATCGAGTAAAAAGAATCACTAGGCATAATAATCATAAACTAGGCATTTGAAGTAATCTTTATGTATCAAATAACAAGGCAGAAAGCAAAAAGCATACATCTAAGACATTCGAGAAGAAATAGTTAACACCTAAGTTCAATCAGGAGATGGACAACCAAACCTGTTAGTTCTGGACACCAAGAGCTGTTACAAACATGACTGGGCTGAGGATGGAGTTCGGCGATAAAGTGCTTGTCTGGCACGCTTGAGATACTGGCATCAAGCACCAGCACTGAAAAGCAAAACAAACACACAAAGCCAGACATGGTGGCTCATGCCTGTAGGACCAGCTATTCAGGAGGCTGAGGTGAGAGGGGCACTCGAGCCTACCCACTCAAGGTCAGCCTGTACAACACAGTGAGTTCCCAGCTCAAAGAAGAGGATGAGGAATGAGAAAGAAGAGAAGGAGGAGGAAGAGGAGGAGGAGGAAGGGAGGAGGGAGGAGAAGGAGAAGGAATGAGGAGGAGGGAGGGAGGAGGGAGGAGAAGGAGAAGGAATGGGGAGGAGGGAGGGAGGAGGGAGGAGAAGGAATGAGGAGGAGGGACTTTGAAAAGGTTAAGAAGATGGACATGGTGGCTTGAGGCCAGCCTGATACATATAGTGACTTCCAGGTGAGCTGGGACTAAGGAAACCCTGTCAGGAGGAGGAAGAGGAGGAGGGAGGGGGAGGAGGGAGGAGGAGGAAGAGGAAAGAGGAGAAAGGAGGATGTCTGGGTAGCTTCAGTTGTGGACTTGACATACCTAGGAAGAAAGAACCTCAACTAGGACATTTCTTCTATCATAATAGCCTGTGGCCATGTCTGTGAGGCATTATCTTGATTGTTGGTCCACTGTGGTTGGTGCCACCCCTGGGCAGGTGGTCCTCAGTTGAATAAGAAAGCAGGCTGGGCACATGCCAGGGGAGCAAACCAGTAAGCAGCTTGCTTCCTCCACGGTGTGTGCTTCAGTTCCTGCCTCCTGGTTCCTGCCTGACTTCCCTCAGCAACTGTCAGTTGTAAGAGTAAGATGAAACAAATAAACCCTTCCTTTCCCAAGTTGGTTTTGGCCAAGTGTTTTATCACAGCAATAGAAAGTTAACTAGGACAGAGGAGAAGGAAAAGGAAAAGAAGAAATGGGGAGGGGGAGGAGAAGAGAAGGAGGAGGAGGAGGAAGAGAAGGGGAGGAGGAGGAGGAGAAGACAATGAAAATGTGTTGACAGAATGTAACTCACCCTCACCTCTGCAGCCTGAGTGGAAATTTCTCACTATGTCCACGTGTACACACACACACACACACACACACACACACACACACACACACACACAATTTAATGCCCTTTACTGTGGAAAACCCAGCTCTTGTGGAGTCTACTCTGCAGCTGCGTGGCACACAAGGTTAGGACAGACAAGTACTGAGCATGGTTATCAACATCACTATCTATAAACAACAGAAGCTGTTCCCGCCACCAGTACAGTTTAATGACGGCACGCAGCAGGAGGCACCAGGCAGCTGAAATGGTGACACAGCCCCTGAAAATGCAGAAAGCTCTGCCAGAGTTAGGCAGTTGTGAAATCCAGGGCCTCTAAGTATATAGCAAGATCCTGCTAGATAAAGAGAAAACAACGCATGCGTATTGACCGCTAAAGGGCCCAGCAAAGCCTGCAAAGCCTACATCGCTGCTATGCACTGACTTCCCTACGAGTGAGGAAGAAAGGCTATTGTAAAGAATGGAGGCACCACTGCCCAGGCCTGCAGGTGAAGGATGCAAAGGATGCTGGGTGGATTAGAGGGCCCCATAGTCTCAGGGAGCATGACTAGCCAGGCCCACCTGCAGGTTCCAGGTCTGCTTCACATATTCCCTGATGAGGTTTTCTTTCAGGTCCTCAAAAGGCCCGGTCTTGGGCTGCACCCCTGGGGGCCGATTTAAGGGCTTCTTGAGGAGGCAGACGAGGCCATCGGATTCCTGGGAGTGGTATTGGCAGAGGTCGGCAGGACTGGCATGGGTCCTGCCACCAGAGATAGCATAGGTGCCATTGAGCTCCCTCTCAATGGTGTAGTGGTGTGCCTTCCTGTTGTGGGCCACGGACAGGGCAAATCCGCCCAGGTAATTGCGGCTCTGGCGCAGCAGGTAGAGCCCATCTGTCATTCCTCCCTGGACCAGGTAGTCTTCAGCCTCCTCCCGAGTGATGTTGCCGAAAAAGTAGGGCAGGTGGTTGGCGCTGTCAGCCGTGTTGCCCGCCATTCTTCCGCCCCTTCAGGATATGAGGAGACACTCGGGAAAGTACCTGGGGACAACAAAGGTGGGAGAACCTTGGTCAGGGACCCAAGCAGCAAAAGACACTGGCTAAGCCCGTGAGAACCGTCTCTAGCCAGACACATACCCTTTCAGCTCAGAATGGATGCAACACATACATGAACTTCCCAATGTGTGGTCGCTTCTGCTTATTAATTATCACAGTTTCCCAGCACCTACTGTGGTTAGTTAACCAGATCTGTGGCCTTTGACAAAAGTGGCTCAATTCACTATTTTTTTTCTGGTGGGGAAAAAAGAATTCTAAGAAATACACAAAAAGAAGAGTGTATAGTTGTGACACTATGCTCAAAGGCATCCCTGAAGGTGGACAGTGGCATGCGGGGCAGAACCAGCAAGAGTTCAAAGCCATGGATGGCCCTGCAGAGGCACAGATCATGCTAAGGAAAACCCATCTTTTTGCATCACCACAAAGTTCTCTCTTTCCCTCTCTCCCTCCTTTCCTCGCCTCCTTCTAAGGCTGGCCTTGAACTCAGTATGTACCCAAGGATGGCCTTCAACTTCTGATCCTTCTGCATCTACCTCTTCAGTTTGGGATTAGAGGCAGGTGCCACAACACCCAGTTTATGTGGTGCCAGGGTCAAACCCAGGGCTTTGTGAATGCTAGACAAGCACTCTAAGGCTGAGCTATACCCCCTGCCCATGGAGGTGACTTTAAGCAGACAAGTACTGCAGTTAAACCCCGGAGAGGCTGAGGGTCTCATTACTATGGGCTCTCTCGCCTCCCACTGGGGTGGAAAGAGCAATAAGTGACTCCATGACTTATAAAAAGTGGCATCCTCCCTAGATCCTCTCTCTGGTCTAGGGCACAACTAAGAGAAGCAGCCAGACCCCTTGTTGATCTGGCACTGTCCCCCACTGCACACCTAAGGGGTCACTGGGTAAACGTGTGAGGAGCCTGACACAGAAAGATGCTGCCTGTGACAGGAACATATACCACAGAAAAGGAAAGGAACACATGGATCTATTTGTGAACAAGAAAGATACAGACCACCAGACCAGAAAGTACCCAAAGAGGTATGGGTTTAAGTCAAAAGAGTTAGTCATCTGGAAAGGAAGAAAAGGAAGCCATCCATTCATCTGAGGAGAGAGCACTTGCCCTCAGTGCTTTCTTCAAGTTACTGCCTCACACAGCATACTGTAAACACGCATCACATACACACGGCATGTATGCACTACACATCATATATACATGCTGTGCATCATACACATACCATGCACCATAAACACATACACTATATACATCACATATATCACACACACCACACCATCCACACATACACTACACACCATATATACACAAATACTACATACTATAAACACATACCATACATACCACACATCGCATACATACCACATCACCTACACTCACTACACACCATAACATGTACCACATGTTACATCCACATGTACCATACACCATAAACACCACACATACACATACACACATATCACACATCACACATACATACATAGTACAGTATGGATACCACATGTTTATACATATGCACAAGCACACATTACATACTATACATACACACATAAAAGACCATATAACATGTACTACACATCATAAACACACACTATACATACATCATCCATACATAATATATACCACTCATCACATACACATATGCCACACACCATAAATACATATCACACATACACATACTATATACCACACATCATACACATAACACACATCATATCATATACCACACACCACACATGCCACTCATAATAAACATACATCACACATATACATATACCACATCACACACATCACACACGCCATTCCACCCACACATGAATCATACATCATAACATATACCACATATCACATACACATACATCACATGCCATGAACCCATAGCACAAATTACATGCATGCTACACCACATACACACACCACACATGATATAAAACATACCCTGTGAATGGGCCATACAACAACACACATACCTCACACTACACATAACACAACATACACACATACCACACATCACACATATACACACCACATCATATACACACCGTATACTATAAACACATACACAACACACACCTCCCACTGCACACTAACACAGCACACACCTGTCATCCACATATTGCACAAACACTCATCTCGCACAAAGATATACACACAGATATAGCATACATCATATAGATACTCCCCACCACATGGTTACATGAAACACTTCTCAGCACAAACTGTCCTCCATGTGGCTGCACAGTCCAAGGATGCCATGTTGGCACAGGTAACATAGCACCCCAACACTGCACTCTGGGGCAGCCTGAGAAGGAGAGTTTTGTTGTAGTCCAACAGCACACATAATGTTATTCTTGGTGCTTCTCCTAACATTTGACCAGTCTCTAAAATTTCATCTCAGCCGTCACTCAACAGCCCTGAGCCTTCCCCTCACAGTCCATCTGTCCTGTCACTTCCCCTCTCCCTCCACCTCAGCCAGGCACTCCTCAGCTTTCCTATGTCGCACTACCCCAGAACTCTGATAATCACAGGGGCCTCCGATACCTCAGTTCCCATCACCCCAGTGACACATGCTGGGTGCTAATCCACCTGAGTCCAGAATGTTCTCCTGTGTTGGGGAGGTGCCCAGTGAGAAGCCTGAGGAACACACTCTCTCAGATGCTGTTTCCAAACCACTCTGTGTCCATGACCTCTGCCTGCTCTCACTGCCTCACCTCCTGCCCAAGGCCTTCACCTGCGGCCTCCCACACCTCTCCTCCACTCGCTGCCCACTTCCTCCCTCTTCTCCTGTGGTCCAGACCCTCCCTCCAGCCTGCTGGCCCTCCCTGCTGTGAGCCTCATTTCTAACCTGCCACAGGCTGTGAGCCTCATTTCTAACCTGCCACAGGCTGCTGGGTACCTCCTCTGGCCTTTCCTTGTCCTCGTACTCTCTGTCTCTCTACCCCACCACTCTCAGGCCTCCCCACAGAACTGCCTCAGACACCAAACACTGCACAGGCTGAGACTGGGTCTTTGGCTGCTGTGTCCCCACAGACTCCCACATCTCCGCCCCGCCCCCCTTCATGTAGACTTATCCATCAGTAGCTCCAACTAAATCAAGTTTTAGGAACATTGTTTTAAATAGAACGACAGCAAAACCTTTATAATTCATGTGACTCTTAACCACATTTTTGTTGTTGTTTGAGACAGGGTCTCCCTGTGACCCCGGCTGGCCTGGAACTCACTACGCAGACCAGGCTAGCCTCGATCTCACAGAGCTCTGCCTGCCTCTGCCTCCCAAGTGCTGGTATTAAAGGTGTGCGCCGCCACACCTGGCTAGTATATGTTTTTTAAACTTACTAGTTTGTCACTGACGTTTCCTGCAGTACTGGTGCCTTTATTTGCACCCCTGCGGGAGGGCACTGAGAGACTGCGATGAGACCTGGGTGCGGCATTTCCAATCCCTTTGGGCGAACACACTAGGTCCTCCTTATGCCTTGATTTTGTTAGCTAATTAATTTTGTGTTTATTTATGTGTGTGTGTGTGTGTGTAGGTAATTGAGCCTATGCACACAAGGAGGCCAGAGGAGGATGTCGGGCATCCTGCTCTATCACTCTCTCTACCTTATTCCCTTGAGACAAGGCCTCTCTCTCTCTCTCAATCTCTCTCTCTCTCCCTCTCTCTCTGATTCTCTCTCTCTCTCTCACTGTAACTGGAATTCATTATTTTTGGCCAGGCTAGTGGCCAGCAAGCCCCTGGATCCTCCTGTCTCTATGGCCCACAACACTGGAGTTATAGGTGTGTGTAACCAGACAGCTACACCTGGAATTTTATGTGAGTTCTGGGGACTGGAACTCAGGTCCTCCTACTTGTACATGCTGAGCCATCTCCCCAGTGAAGTTTATTTTTCATTGGTATATAGTGTGGCAGAGTGATGGTCTGATCCATGTTACAATAAGTGATTATCAATTGGGCTTCTGGAACACTCATCACCTTAGATATTAGTTATTTTTATGATGAAAACCTTCAGATTGCTTTCCTTTAGCTATTTGGAAGTGAACAATGCTTTACTGCTGACCATAGTCACCCTACTGTGAAACACAGCTACAGAACCTACTTCTGTGATCTCACTGTAACTTTGTCCCATTGATCAGGCTCTTCCTGTCCCCACCATAGTCCTCTGCCTCTGGGAACCACCATTCTGCAGGGTACATTTCGGCCTTCTTCCCGATCAGGCAGCCCCTTTCAGTTTCTGTGGGAAGGAAAGGGCTCGCTGTCAGCACTGCCATGCTGGGCAGTCCCCTTCCGTCTGACCATCTGACTTCTACACTGCAGATGAAGTGCTGACTTGAGGGAGGAGGTGCCTTGATGTCTGTGGTGGTGGAAACCTGACCATAATAACAGCTTCCAGCACATTCCTGGACTACTTGAGACACAGACATCATCTTCAGTGTCCGCAACCCACCCCCCATGCATTTTTTTCCAGGACTGGCCTCCCTACTGCCTCCATGGGGCCTCATTGTGGTCTCTACCCTCTTCCCTAGGCTCCCTTGGAAGAACATGGCCACCTACATTCCAGTCACCAGCCACACAAGACTGCTCTCAGCTCTGCTTTGCAGACATTGGCTCTCACCTACACTGGCAAATCCAGATGTTAAGTTTTTGCCAGATGTTGTGGTACAAGCCCGTGATCCCAGCATTTAGAAGGAAGAGGCAGGGGCTGCAAGTTCACGGACAGCCTAGGCTACATAATGATTTCTTAGGCCAGTCAGGACTATATAATGATACCCTGTCTAAAAAAACAGACAGATAGACAAGCAAAACCAAAACCAAAACCAAGCCAAACTAACCAACTGCACTAACCTTGACACAGACGAGAATCATTGGGGAAGAGATTTTCAATTAAGGAATCATCTAGATCAGGTTGGCCTGTGGGCATATCTGTAGGGAGTTTTGATTGTTAACCCAGGTGGGAAGACCCACCCTGCCTGTGGGTGGCACCTTT